GTGAAGGTTCGATTTCGGTGAAGAACAGCTCTAAGCATGGCACCTGGTCCCGATGCTAAGAAAGACAGTCCAGAACAGAGCCCGACCCTCGGTCATGACGATTAGGCTTTGAGAGGCATTTTGGTGATTTTCCCTTCCTCGTTGTATTCTGAATAAATCTGTATTCCCTGAACACGCACCACAGAGAAGGAGCCAGGGCCGGGCCCCGCTAAGAGGCCAGTGGAGTCTCCCTCTCCCAGGCAGTTTGCTCATCACTGCCAAAACGACAGCTGCCACAGAACACCTGACATCAGGTGCAGCTGCTCGAATGAGCCTGACTCAGTCGACTCCAGAAGACTTCCACCAGTCCCATCCCCTCCTAAGCCCTGGCTGTCACCTGCCTCCCTTAGACAGGCGCACCGGGTGACAAATGACTTAGATAAAACTGCTAACCTCAGCCCTCAGAGAGACTGTCATCGCTTCACCGAGTGACCTCGCCCTGCCCTTGCAAACCACCCTCTGGAACCCGGCCCCGGCCTCCAGCTTGGGACCTCAGAATCTCCTCCACGAGGGCCACAACGAGGTTCCTCAAGCAACGGCCAGAAACGGAAATGCCCGCACGCGCTCCATCAAACACACAAGCGAGCAAACCGCAGAAGGGCTGTAAATTAAAAATTCAACAGCGAAAGCTTTTATTTATCCTTTCATTCATTCGAGGCATTTTAACCGAATGCTTACTGTATGCCAGGCACCTTGCTAGGTACTGGGGACTCCTAGCAGGGAACAAGACAAAGGACTTCTGCTCAGGTGCTTAAAAGAGGACGGGGTCCTTAAAAAAAAAAAAAAAAAGGCTCAGGGTTGTGATTTAAACAATCCCACCCCTGGCAGCACCGTGGTGCAGAAACAGAAAGAGCAGCTTCCAGGACGGATGTGAGAGATGACGGTTACTGTAACAGATTCCAAACAGAACAGTTCAGGAGGGCGGGATGGAGGAAACGTCTTCGGACTGCCCAAATGAACATTCCTGGAATAGAAGGGTGCGCTTTCTCTAAGAAAACTGTAAAATGAAGCACTTAAAAACAAATACCAGGCGGCGGCAGCTTCCTCTGGACCCACTTCCCATCCCCAGGAGAAAGGGACTGCTGGGGTCTTTGCTGCTTCAGACACCACCCAGGAAAGGCCGGAGTCTTAGACCGCTTTTCAGGCAAAGAAACGAGTAGCCTTCTGCCACAAACAAATGAAAAGAGTCAAAGCCGAAAATAAAAGCCTGGTAACGAGACGCTGGAAACCTTCAGAAAGGGACCTGCAGAATAGTTCTGTCTAACTCTCAGCATGTCTGTACATAATAAGCAATATACAGTGTACGCTGACTGTCTTACAGCGAGAACAGAGTTGATGCCAATTATTTTTTGCCCTCATCAAGAGAGCTTGTCATCCCTCTACAGAACAATTACCAAGAGGTGCACAAGAGTTAAAAGCTAAATTCTTCCCCCAATTCAGCATGGAAAAAGTGCTGCTCGCAGCAACTTGACATTTCATTAGATTAATTTTTAAATGTGTTATCCTAACAATTATGCCAACTACCATATAATTAATATTCCAACTGACTTTACAAAAATTACAAAATCTCCTAAAGAAAATAATTAGTCATTAGGCATGAATGAGATTTTTCTATGGCCGACAGCACATAAAGCAGAAAGTTCATCACATAATGGGCGGTATCAAAGCCTTTTCCATACTTCCTCCAATTTTTAGCCAGCAGTGCGTAAAGCTGACATTGGCAAGTTATCCCAAACGTCACTTAACATATTAATGCGCTTGCTGGTTTGAACTCTTTGAGGGTAAAATTTTGAATGATGAAAGCCTTAGCAATGAAAAAGCTCTTTTCCTTTGTAGAGAGGCAAGATAAACACATCTAATTGTTTGCTGCTTCCATATCCCCAGCTGGAAATCAGAATACCGGCTCATTTCCTGGGGTTATTTATTGAGTTTTTTAAGAAAGGTACATAAGACATCCTTACCTTTGATTTCCTCTTTTCTTTCAGGGTGTTACTCTCATAATCTACCTTAAATCTTTTCTAGAGTCAGGTAAGATATTGACTAAGTCACAGTCAGATAGGACATTATCTACCATAGCAGCAACGAGAAAACACGGCTTCCCCACAGCCCACCTGTGAGTGACAGGCAGGGCCTGCGCAGCCCCCGAGCAGAGCAGAGAGCCAGCCTCC